TATGTACCACATCTTTTTAATCCGGTCATCTACTTTTGGGCATTTGGGTTGATTCCATGAAAGAAAGAATTTTTTTTTTAATGTATGCATCTGTACTGGGAGAGAAATTGGCAGAGCCTGGGCGTAGGGGTGAACACGCCTAAATTTGAATCAAGTGTCATCCAGTCATCTATGAGTCCGCAGGCCCCATGGGTGGAGAAGGAATAATCCGTGACTGGGCAGGTCACTGTTGGCGCCAAGGTGTGGCTGCTCGTTGACAGCAGGCCTACTGAGCAGTCGTCACCCTCCTCCTTGACATCACTGCTTGTCCTGTGCGAAGGCCAGATCTATGAGGCTTCCTTGCATTTCTGGCCCACATTTGTAATGTGGGCAGTGGGGTAAAAATGATAGTGTTGTAGGGGAGGAGAAGGAATCTTCCCTCTGTTCCTCTAGGCACTGGACTGAGACACCCCACCTCCATCGTAAAAGACAGTTTAACAGGAGTAAAACTGGTTTCATCTATACGATGGCCCCAAAGATGAGCCCAAAGAAGTGTCCAAGCAGGCAGCTTTGATAACTTGTAGATGAAGGAACGATCATTGGGAAGAATCCTCGAGAGGCTGTGGGCGAAGAAGCAACGAGGTTTGCTACCCAGGCTTCCTGGCCCTGCACCCCCACTGTGGGGACAAGGAGGTCCCTCTGTCTCTTCGTGTACATTGGTGCCTTTCACAAGGAGATGCACCCCCTGCTTTCAAGGACCGAGGGAGGGTGAGCGTGTCCTTCTTGCTCTGGCTGTTTCTCATGCAACTTTGATTCAAAAATAGTCAGTATGCCAAAGAGGTCTCTTTGGGGTAACCCTTTCTACTTCCCTCTGTCTCCATTGCCTGCAAAGTTCCATTGCTGGTAGAGGTGAGCACACTACTCAGCCCTCCTCACCAACCCTCTCCAATCTATGTGCTTTATCATTATTCATTCGCGTGCTCCCAAACCAGACCCTGAGCAAGCGTTCCTGTACTCCCAGGCTACAGATGGGGGAGCTATTCTCCTCTACAAGAATCATTTCATGGAATCCTCAGTCCCCAAGGGGACCCTCTCCAGCCAGGCATTGGATTTTCAGTTGTTTCACTCTTTAGCCACAGTAGGGATGGATGCTAGAAGATGGGATGGAGGAAATGGGAACTTTTATCCCACTCCAGTTAGCGGGCTGGGGTGCTCAGGGCCACTGGAGAGGGGTGGAGACACCCAGACTTAGACTCAGGAGCCTCTAAGAGAGCCATGGCCCTATGACCTCTGTGACCTCTATGACCATGGCCACACTCCTGGGCAGAGCAAGATGGACAGACTTCGGCTCAGTCAGCTCCTCTGCCCTGAAGGTGGGACCTCGGCTAAACTGCCCGGAGGTATCTGCTCGTGTTCTGGGATCCAGATGCCTGCAAGGATATGAAAAGGAAGGAGCGTCTACCTCCTTCTTATCTCAATGCAGCTCCTTGAAATGGGGGTCCCAGCCAAGATGGCTGCCATCCAAGATGGCTGCCAGGACTTGACATGGCGTGCCAGAAGCGCTCTGAGTACAAGTGCTCACGGGAAGCAGCATGAGCCGCTCTCCCTGCCATTTCCACATGTACCCGGTAAGGCTGGTTCTTCCCCTGGCTCTTGCTGATGCCCAGGCAGCCCCCAGGGCTTCTCGGGCCTCTCAGTAATGCAAGGCTCCCCAGCCACTCACCAGGCTGTCTGTCCAGTCCCAGCTGACCAGAAAGGTCAAACCTTCTTACCTTATGCAAATGACAGTCTCTTTCCAGCCCTAGCTCAGCTCTGTTGTGGGGGAGGAGGCCATAATGCTGGAAAGGGGGTACAGTGGTCACTTTCTCCTTTGCTGTTCTCCTCCCCCAGGTGGCAGCTTTGGAAGGGGAGGAAGAAAAGGAAGTAGGAAAGGTTGAAGAGTTCTTACTTGAGTAATATAGTCAGGAGATGGCATAGACTGGGCTTGGGGGTATTCAAGGCTGGGTCTTTCTTCCATTACCCCTTCCTTGGGTTCTTCAAAGACTCTTCCACCCATAGTACCTTCAAATTTGTTGTTCCTTCTCTCAGACTCATGGGACATCAATGGTTTGCCCCAGCTTCTCTCTGCCAAGACTCCTTCACCTGTCCTGGCAGCCATCTTGGATGGCAGCCATCTTGGGTGGGGCATTTGCTTCCAAATGTTCCTGTGTCCTTTGCCCCAAACCCTGATAACACAAGCCAATTGCAGAGTAGCAGTAAACTTTTCTCCACCCTCACCACCTCAGCAGGTAGCCAACATCTCTCACCTTTTAAATTTTGTAAGCCAGAGTTCCATCCCAGGCCACTGCATTCCCACCATGCTTCAAGTTCTCTCTCACTAAACTTAAGGTTTGGGACAGGGATTTCCTTTCCTCCAACCTTCTGTCAGGTAAGGTGTGTTTGACACGTACCTTAGAGGTACATCCGCAGCTCTGTCACACATATTTGTCTCCACAAATATCTCACAATCCTCAACTCAATTAACAGTTTCACAGTCGCTGTGGTAAGCTCTTTAACAGTCAGAATCCTGTTCACCATCACCTCATTACCCATAGTTTTACAGGATGCTCTGCTGACAATTTTGGAATACAGTGTCTACTGCCTTAGGGATCTCTTCTCTTCCAGAAACTTCTCTCTCTCTCATTATCTAAATTTATAGTATATTTGTGTATGTGTGCATGTATCATTGTATGGCACAGATATGTGAGGATATCGATATAATTTACAGATGGCAGGATATATACACACATTACATATATATACACACTGTATAAAATACCTATCTAGTATAGATGATTGATTTTTTTTTTAACCCAAGCGTGTCATACTTAATTTTCTGGATGTTTGCATGAATCACTTAAGAATTAGTCTTGGAGAGGCCCTCCCTGGTGGCAAAGGGGGTTAAAGCACTGCACTAAGAAGCTAAAGCCACTTTCGCATGAGTTCTATCCCCGCTGCCCGGAGGTGACCACATGGCGCAGCAGACCTCTCCTGACCCACCCGTTGCTCCCCTCAGCAGTGTAATTTGTCAGTCGGCCTGATCTGCTCCCCACTCATTCTCGGGTGAATCCTCTCACCGCCCCTGCATCTCTGGCATTTACCTCAGTTCTGTATGCACAAATAATAAATAAATCTTAAAAAAAAAAAAAAAGAATTAGTCTTGGAGAGCTTTCCATAGTGAACACAAGAGCTTCCTCATCCTTAAGTGTTATAACAGACCTTATCACGTGACTGAATCTTAGCTTATTTAACCAGTGCCCTTGACATGATACTTGCGTGTTGCCTGTACTGAAGCAGAGAGCATCTTCTGCCTGTACCTTGACAGAGTGCACCCCTAACCACTGAATTTCTAGGTCGTGGCACAGCTGCCTTGCCAACTTTGGGGGGTGTCATCCACCAGAGCTGCACATTCACTGTCATCAAAGGCATGTGACATGCGGGTGTATCAACACATCACTAGCCCTGACTGCCTGCCCTGCCCCCACCCCATCTCACACACACTTGAGGTTTGCTTTATGTAATACCAGCATTTACATTTAGCTTGCTAAGTTTAATCCCCCAAAACTTACCAATTTTCCATGTGTTGTGCCATAAGTAGGACCCCTCCTGCTGTTCTATTTTCCAGCTGGTCGCTGTATTATAACCACTGATTGTTGCTTACACGTCACTTGGCCCATTTCTCTCAACACTATACTATTCCCACCGTATTGTTCTTGACCCAGGTACCTGTATAGGCACAGTTTTCCCCAAGGGACTACGATGGCAAGTCTCACAAAGTCTCAGATCCCGAATGGAAGACATTGTGCTTTATGTAAGAGGCCCTGAAATTTCCCGGGCATCAAAGCCTGGGTTTGGAGATTGTTAATGCAGCAAGAACAGCTGTCAGGGCCGGCTTTCAAGGCTCTCTCTAGTCTCAGAAGAGACGGGGAGAGACTCTCGACCGGGAGCAGTTGGGAATTCTCTGCTTCCCATCAGGGTGGCCTTAAGTATCAGGGGTAACATGTGCCTTTGAAATCCTTCAAACAAGACCTAACAATACTTCTAAGAGTGCCAAAATAGTCCATACCTTTAACCCAGAAATTCATCTTGCAGGGATTTGTCCTGAGAAAATACTGTAGATATTTGGTTAGAAAAATGGCTATCCACCATTGCTTACAATAGCAGAAATTTTAAATGACCTGATTATTTCATAGGGGAATGGTTATATTGGTTTTGGTAAATCCAAACTGGAGAACACCCGGTCTGCAGCTACTTGAAACAGTGCAAGAAATAGGAATGATATTAGATAAAACAAAATCAGCAGACTATGCAATGGTGTTTGCAATGTGGTGGCACTGGCAATGGCTGGGAAATGGAAAATTTGTGCAAAGAAAATACTCATGATATAATTCCTATTATAATTCTTTTAAAAAAAGATTTGTTTATTTATGCATACAGAACTGGGGTACAGGCCAGAG